TATAAGGTGTGTCTGTTGCAGACTATATATTGAAGGATGTTTTCTTATCCATTCTGCCACTCTCCTTCTCTTAACTGGTGCATTTAATTCATTTACATTCAGAGTAATTATCAATTGTTGTTAAGTACCATGGAGTCAACTCCAACTCATAGTGACCATGCACAGAGTTTCTGAGGCTACAAATCTTTACAGGAGCAGAATGTCTCATCTTTCCCACGGAATTGCTGGTAGTTTTGAACTGCTGACCTTAAGGTTTGCAGCCCGACTCATAACCAGTACGCTACCAGAGCTCCTTAAAGGTATAGCTTAAGTGCTGTCATTATGTTGTTTTTTATTTTATTTTATTTTTTTTTGTGGTGCTGGTTTCTTTGTTCTGCTTGTCTTCCTGCTGATTCTGTTTTGTTGTGTATTCTTGTCAGTTTCTTCATAGTTTTAATGTTTCTATGTTCCTGGATTTTCATTTTCTTGGTATGTTGTAAAGTATTAATTCAGGCTGAGATTACTTTATATTCTGTTAACTTGTCCCTGCATTTAAAAGTCTACTTTATCCTAATCTACCTGACCTTGTCCCCACCTGGATCTCTGTTACATTGTGTTAACCTATTTTCACATTGAATTATTTTGATCATAGACTAACCTTCCAGATCCTCTGAATTTGTTCTTATAGTTTTGTTCTGTTCTAGACTCTTCCATCTGTCATTTGATTTTCGGGTGGTGCTGCCATGTATGTCAATCTCTGGTTGTTGTCTGTTCTTGTGGCTTCTCAGTCCATAGAACTCCGTTTCCAATGTTTTGTAGCACAGGATTGGTTTGGCAAAATTCCTTAGCTTTTGTTTATCCTGAATGCTTTGATTATACCATCATATTTGATTGACAGCTTTGCTGGCTAGACGATTCTTGGTTGGCAGTTTTTTTCTTTCAGGTTTTTATATATGTTTCCTCATTGCCTTCCTGCCTGCATGGTTTCTGCTGAGAGATCCGAACTTAATCTGATTTGCTTGCCTTTGTATGTAACACTTCTGTTTTTCCTAGCTGCTTTCAGGATTTTGCTCTTTGATTTTGGAGAGCTTGATTATTATATGTCTTGGTGATTTTCTTTGGGGGATCTATCCTTCCTAGGGTTCATTGAGCTTCTTGAATGCTTACCTTTTCGTTTTTCAAGATGTTAGGGAAATTTTCTTCTAGAAGCTCTTCAACTCTCTCCTCTGTGGACTTGTCTGATTTTTCTTACTCTGGAATGCCAATAATTCTTGTTATTACTCTTCATGTTGTCCAACATCAATCTTAGACTGTCTTCAGATTTTTTTATCCTCTTTTCTGCTTGCTTTTCTGTCTTAGTAGTATTGAGAGATTTGTCTTCCAGCTCTCTGGTTCTGACTTCCATCTCTTCAATCTACTCTTACCCTTCAGTGTATTGTCCATTTCTGATATTCTATCATTAATCATTTAGACCTCTTT